ATTATTATATCAAATGGCAGGCGTTTTGATTGTTACCATTAGCCCTTTAATTGACTTCAGTCTTCACAGAGGGGAAGGAACATCAAAGTGTATAAAATTCAAGAGGTGGAGGGGGGGGGAGCAGAAGAGTGTATCAAAGACGAAGGTAGATAAGGTGGAAAAAAGGTGGGATGAGTACTGTGAAAGTAGTCGAATATGACATACAGTGGGGTGATGATAGTTTGAAGTCAACTGCCAGTTAAAAGACTGTTTTGTCCTATGAGTATACTTTGCCCAGGGTGCACCACGTGGAGGTAAGTCTATCACACACTCCATGAAACACAAAATAAACTGTTCTAAGGATCAAATTACAAAAGGGAGTTTTTCAATCTGTTGACGCCTCCATTTCTGCTCTTTCACTCATATTTACCATGACTTCGAACCGGTAACCCCGCCTCCACCCCATAACCTTCTATTTCCTTCCAAAACCATTACCTCTTTCTAAATTTTTTTTGAGTAAGCCATATATATGCCTCCATCTTAATACTCCCTTAACCCATTTTTTTACAAAAAATGCTTATTTCAAAAGAATTACCAATTTATTACTAATTAATACTAAAATTTCCATTTTTTACTAAAACGACTACCAGATAAATCATGTAATCAGCCTAAAAGTTCGCAATGAACGTTGTAGTACTTTAGTCTGTGCGGCAAGTTAAGAATCCCTTCGCAGAATCAATTCTCTGAAATGTCTGTCTCAATCATATTTAAGATAAATAAAAGCCCTTTCTCTCATTTTTACTAGTAGTTAACGGTAGTTGCCAACTACAAGAAATCCAAAAAATTTGTCCTTTCGGATTTGTTTCTCTCGAAAATGAAACAGTATCAAAACGATTTGCACAAAGTGTTAGTTAAATTAAACTACCGTATCATTAGGAACTCATATGACTCACATTAATCTCAGTCTTATCTTTGTTCATTCACTTCCAAAGAGGCCAGAGACTACTCACCAAGTTCGCTACAATCGGCACCATCATTTGGATGACAGGGGAAGCCAAAATTTATCGCGGCAAGAAATTTCACACAGGTAACTTTGATTCCACTTAGGGACTTTACGCACTCCTTTCAAACTCAGTAGTCTGACAGAGTAACCTGTTGGCAACGTCGAAATTCAACCTCCCATATCGTCATGATTGGAGTACAAGAAGGGTTCCTTATGCTCTGACAGTCTAGGTAACGAACGATTTTGGTGTCCAAAAGTGATTTATAATTCTTTTTTTAAAATATTCGTAAAATTTTGCCACTTTGTTAAAATTTGCATGAATAAATAGTCGTTAACATAAAGAATTTTGAAGTAAAGGCTGCCATTTTAGTGTCCTGGGATTTGTGGACAATTTTTGAAAACCATTGAGCTTATAACACTTTTAAAAATCAATTACTATAGAATCTACTCAATTTTGCGAAGTCTGCCCTGCCAACAATCAATAAAGACATCAAATAAGAAAATAACTAGCATTTCCACTTTACAATTTTTTATTTTGTAATAGGTAATAATAATTAGGATTTCAAAAGAGACCTTCATTTATTTATTTATATCAAATGGCAGGCATTTTGATAGTTATCATTAGCCCACTAAGTTGACTTCAGGCTTCACAGAGGGAATGAACATCAAAGTGGAAAAGTCGAGATGGGGGTGGGAATAGAAGAGCGTTTCAAATATGTAAAAGAGATAAACACAAATGTAGAAAAAGGTGGGATGAGTACTATGGAAGTAGTCGAATATAACATACAGTGACGTGATGGTAGTTTGAAGTCAGAAGTCAACTACCG